ACATAACCACAAAACACCGTAGATAATAAATCATAATATATACAAGATCAAACCATAAATGATCCAAAACTGAACAAAAGATCGGTAAGTAATTAACAATAATTTATGAACGGTACAACATATGACCACAGTTAACAAATATCAATTATACCTTGCAGTAAGATCAGTACTAAAGTACAGTGACACAGGCATTTAATAAAAATGCAACAAAAATCTGTACCATCGTTATCCAAGGAATAGTCTTAGAAGTTTCACTTCTCCCAAATATCCACTCCAACTGGTAACAAGTTTGGAAAATTCATCTCTCTATTCAGTGATTATATTTCATCTAAAATCATGAACCGATCTAAGTTAGACTAGCATTGAAAACCTGAAAGTAGTGGACGGTAGTTTTATCCTACTATAAAACTACTCAGGAGTACACATCCATACATCAATCGAACCCAAAACATCCGGTCTAGCACATGAACAGTTAAACTCCAAGCCAGTGAGTCAGTATTCAGAAGTGTTTATGTCTAATCTCTATCAATCCAAAACATTGTGCGACCATCTTTCGTTGTCTTTGTTAAGTAACTATCTTACATTTTACTAAATGTAACCCCCCTGGTCACGGCTTATCAGTAGAACTGTGGAAAGTCCCTCTGGAATTTAGCCTCTAGTGATTATATGATAATTAATGGTATTGGGGTTGTTGATATTGTTGGATTTCATTGAAATCATGAACCGATCTAACGTTGGGGATTGATTAAATTTAGACATCAACACTGTCGGATGCCAACTCAATGGCTTAGAGGTCAAGTGTTTACATACAAGACCGAATATCTTGAGATCGATTACCGCGTTGGAGTGGGTCGTGTACGTGCCCTACTAAGTTGATTCACACTAAGACAAAACAACTATCCACTGCTTACAGGCTTTCGATGGTTATCCCACTTAGATCAGTTCATGATTTCAATCAAATTTAACAATCTTCACTACTCCATATTGATGATCATATTTTAGTTTGTTGTAATTTTATACATTTGATGTTTGTATGTATGCGTGTGTCTGTTACTTGAAGGAAGCATAATATGTCATTCTTTAGTCATTTAGTTCATCTACCATTCTAACCATCTACTTCTTCATTCAACAATATATTACTTCTTCTGACTAATGTTAATCATATGAGTATACTTAGTTTTTACAATAAAAATATCATAATATTAACAATTATTTTGCAGAAAATAAATTTGATATGAAAACTTGTTTTTGTTTTGTTGCTATGGTACTGTTTTTATTCGCTTTTTTATTTTTGTTTTTAATTTTTTTTTGTATTTTTACTACAACTCGAGTATTTTTCTATTTGTATTACCATTCTACCTTTTTTTCAACCTTATTAATCAACGCTGACAAGAATTAGTTTTTTATTTTAATTTCCTATTTTGTTTCAATGAAGTTCTAGACAGTTGAAAATAAATCATATTTTACATACTTGGATTATTGTAACAGTAATGTGTATATATGTAATATAATAAACCCATTATCCTCTTCTCTTCTTGTTCTCTTTATTTGTAACAAAAAAAATTATTCGTCAGTTATCTTTTTTATCAGTAAGGGGTTATGGAGATTGTTGAGCGTAGATTGATATCATAAATGAATCAATGTTAGACCATCATTGAAAATCTTGAAGCACTGGAAGGCCTCTGCGCAATACCATATTGGAATGAAACTACCATCCAGTGCTTCCAGTTTTTCAATGGTGATGGTGGTGGTGGTAGTGGTCTAACATTGATCCATTCATGATATCAATCTATGCATTGTTGTTTATTAGTTTGTCAACCATGGTTAACTCAATCATCATAAAACATTTTACACTCATTATTTGTATTCACAGAAAGTATATGTGATAATTATTTATTAAGACTAAATGTCAATAAATTAGTGTTTTTTTTACCATAACACTCTCATTCTCTCTGTCTCACTTCCCACCGTCATAGAATATCATAATTAAACTGGACATTCATTTTTTAACTATCGTATTCATTTGAATGTGTACGAATTATTAGCCGATTATCAATTGGTGTTTTACACATTCACACATCAGTAGTAGCATAAAACTGTCACTTTTTTGTATGACTTATATGATTGGGTTTTTTTTTTAAAATGATCCTCTGCATTTTTCCATCGGAACTGTTAAAACCCCCTTTGTTTACACGTATATATTTCACACTAAATCATGTAAAGAACATCAGCATAACATTATTACTACGCCTTTATAGACAGATCAATGGTTGAACAAAATTACATCTATATATATACTTGCGTTTAGATACACTTGTATGTATGCGTGTGTGTGAGTTTATGTCAGCTTGTGTAATAACTTCTAATGATAATAAACTTTTTACGTATTAAGAAAAATGGTATCTTTTTTTTGTACCAACTCCATTCCTATCTCTATATATACCCGGTTACAACACACATATACAAGAAAATGAATCACAAATGAAGAGAAAGGAAAGGTGTATTCAATATTTGAGATAACATACTGAGTTATTGATTTATTTTATTAGAATAAATGCTGTAGGTTTTACAATATAATCATTGATTATCTTGTAATAGGGGGAGGTATTATGTAACGATGTAAAATCCAATTAGAAAAAGTTCTGATAAACTTAAAAATAAGAAAAAAATTAAATTTTTTGAATAAATTAAGTGAATATTCAATAAAATAATTAAATTATGAAAATGTACTAAAATGTAAAAGACCAGAAATAAATAGAATCTACTTGGTTTAAAGTCAGAATTATAATACTTCTATTCAATAATGAATATCTTTATTATACTAATATATGATTGGTTGATAAGGGAAGATAGACAATCCTATTATTACTAATATTAAGTAGCCTAGCTGTTTAAAATAAAAAAACCCATATTTTATGTTAATCTTAGGTTAACATTAAATTGCACGGCCATTTTTTTAATCTTATGGTAAAGGTGAATGTGGTTTTTAGTTTTTGTGCGAAATTCACATATTGAACATAAAGGTTAATGAAAATATCTTTATATGCTTCCTAAAGCGTTTAAAATGTTTGCAAATGTTTATTGTTTGCTATTTTATAGTAAAATTAATTGCATTAAATGTATTGGATTCTGAATTCTATCTCTAGGGGCTAATCGATATTATATGTAAATCCTAACCTTAAACTCTTAATCCTGAAATAAACATTAAATTGTCAATATTATATTTTATGAACGAACTAATCTTTTTACTCCTATTGGGTATATCCGCTAAATTTATTGATTCATATGGCTATAGGGCATTTCTGCATTATAACTAATGCCAATGATGAAAATACTAAACTTGAACTCTTAATTCATACCCTAAATAACTAAGAATAATGTAGGGACTCCTAAACATCCTCTTCGATCCTTTTAAAGTTCTGAGAAGACGGATAATAGATATCCATAAAGACGAATTTATATTTTGTCCTTTTTCTCCATTTACAGGTATAGTGATCTGTAGAAAACCTTAATTAATTTACTATAAATATTTTAAATCCGTTGACAGTTTGTTATATTATTGTTATCTTTGCCATGAACTATCCATTTACTAATACTGTTTTCTGATGGCTAAGAGCAGTTAAGAGTAGACATAATCTGTTAGTCTAGTGTTTAGTCTTACTGATCTAATAATCCAGTATTATAATAATGTGTGAAATCGCAAACATAAATCAATTGTTTATACAATTGATTGATCACTGGGTAGGGATCCATTTCATGTATGTCAGGTCCTTCTTAGTGCAGATCGAATCCTGTCAACCAAGTTGTGATGTGGCCATCAGTCTAGGTGACTTGACATGGCGTTCTGAGTGACACAGGATCGAATCCGTCAGGGAGTATCAGTTCCCTCAATATTACAAGTACATCTTGCTGACGAGTGCCAAGTAGCACGAAACCTAGGTCCAGGGTTTCCTGTTGATTACTTCCGACCACCATCTTATAAATCATTTATCTTTCTCATTATAATCAATAATTTCATTGCTTAATACTTTTAATATTGGATTGAGAATTTTGCAGATATTTTAAAGATGAATTTTTAAAATTCTTACATAAGAAAACTTTATACCAACTGGATGAAAATGTAACTGTTGACACATTTGTTTAAGTTAATGATACGTACACTATTCAGTTTCAAAGCAGCAGTGAATTGAACATTTCAATCATTAAGTTTTAAGCTTTTTTCTCTCCCTGTTTCACGTATGTATATATTTTTAAATTGGACTGGGTATTTCATTACTGAGTTCAGATTTAAAGTTTCAACCCATAAGCTTCAATCAAGCAGTTTCTGACCGGTGGTCAATATACATGCTATACATTATTAAGCACCTCATCTAGAAATACTACTTAAATTAGGATAGTTTTATACTAAGAAAAAAATAATGGTTTTCAAGCTAAGAGATGTAATTAATTCATGAAATCCATCTGTATGTTACATAAATTTAATTCTTATGATATCAGAGATCAGTAGTCGGTGGATATTACAGTAGGTGAGAACATTATCGAGGTGTTTCATAGTTTACATCTCGAACTGATCTTGGGTAGATAACTATTGGAAGACAGGAATTAGTGTAGTAGTAGTAGTAGTGTAAATCCACGTTCAGACGTTTATTGAATCCAGGACCTTTATATACTTTAGAAAGCATTTAACCTTCAGACTACTGATTACACAATCAATGGTTTACATTTTTGTCTTCCTAATAATGTTGAACTATTTTCGAATGCCACTTATTGATTTGATTCTTGGCTTCATGTTCCTTTCACTTTACTGTTGTGTTTTTCGTAGACGCTTAGCACCATCATTTAAAACAAAGTTTTTTCAGAGTTAATGTCTAAATATGATTAATTTCTTAAAATATATCAATAATTGCTGAATACTCAAATATAGTAGGCTTATTTGTGTACAAATGTGCACGATTATAGTCTATTCATTTTATTCCCATTTATCTAATTAAATATTTTAGAAGTTGTACGGACAAATTCTCTGAAGATGAATTAAACAATCAAAAAAAGAATCTTCAACAATGTCATCTAACTAATTGTGCATCTGGTACACCAAATACAACAACAGATACATTGAGAAAATCGATACAATCACAAAATGTTAATCATAATAGCACAATTAATCATCAATTGTCAGATGATATAACTGAGAAAGAAGCTCATGTGAATTATTTAGTTACTTTATTTCAAGCATTAAAAAGTTCTGGTGTACAAGCGGATGCTTTCAGAGAAGCATTTGAACGTATTGATTTACCAGTAACTAATTCAAAATTATCTCCGAATTCAATAAATCTACGTAAGTTATTTAAAGTGTTTTCTTACTTCATTTTCAACCATTTAATGTTTGGAAAAGGGGTTCAAACCTCGAGTTGCTTATGTTTTGTAAATAATAGGAAAATTGTCAAGCAAATTGTCGAACATCCTTTTTTGAATTCTCAAATTTGTCTAATATGATTGTACGTATACGCACTTATGTTGATGGACTGTTAATATGCAGATGAATATCGATTGCCCGTACTCACATGCTATCTTAAGATCAAATGGTAAATGAGAAAATATAAACATGATATTCTATTAGAGGACGTTGATCAAGCAATTATTCAGGGTCTCAATCTACTTGTCCATCCTGGTAACTTCAGTTTTCTCATTTTGGATTATGCGTTTGGTATACTGCTGGAAGTGTGTGTTGTAACCTAGTTGGACGACAGAACATAGCAATTCGTTTTCCCATATGTGTTTTATTTAATGATTGGTAAGGTATTTAAAAAAAATCTCAGAAATATAGAAGTATATTCCGGAATTATGACAGACTATCTAAAAGGTACATACGACGATTCTTCACCACAATCACCTAAGATTTATGGTTTTATAACGTTATTAGTATAAGAAGTTAGCGGAGCTTAGCTAATTTCTTGTTTTACATCACAGGCTGAACGTAGTTAGAGAACCATGAAAAGCCTTGTAAACTTGGTACCTTTTTCGTCCGGGCCCCCAAATGCCCTAGTACAACCGAGGATGGGAAGAGTCCACTCTTTCTCGAAATGCTCTCACATGGCTCCCTGTATACGGACACTGACGGAGAAGTCCTACTCACTGCCTTCTCGTGGTGGGGGTGTTGTTTACGAAATCGAGAGGATGGAATGCGAATGTCCGGCGCTTTAATTGGGTTGGTGGATACGAAGAGTCCACCTAGGAGAGTTGGAAAACCCTCATTACAAACCAATTGTGTACATTGGCTACAGAATCCTAAGGAAACAAATGACGTATGAACCTATTGTTGGTCACCGGTTACCATGGTTCTGCCTCTCCTTACGTTGATCCACTGCCTTTTGATCGGAACTTAAGGTCGAAGGCTCCGGATGTGGTCTCATAAGAAAATCACCCGCTTTGGTTTGGGCACCCGCGCAGTATCATAGCCCATACACAAATCAAGTGACTTGTGTGGCACATATGTATTCGGTGCCTTTTTATACTAATGTTTATGTGTTCAAATAAAATGAAAAACAATGTTTCGTCTTAGTATAAGACTCTTCAGTAGCAGGCATCTACGACCCCTACTGAAATCGAACTCTAACTGCGATAAATTTATGACAATTACAGTATAAAATTTGAAATATTATCCACAAAACCTTTTCAATAAAACAGTCATTTCGGAAAAAGACTTTATTAATCATTTCAACTTAGTTTGCATTATTGATGATTGAATAATAATAATAATAATAATAATAATAATAATAATAATAATGAAATACAAAATATGACAGTTTTCAAAATTTCTGTTCATTTTTTGTTTTGTTTATATTTATACAGAAAAAAAAATTAAATATATTACTATTTCATGATTCTATTCCCTATTTAAAGTAAAAGTCAGTTATCATAATAAAATTATATTGTGTATCAATAAATATATATCATTTTCGACATTGTCACAAATTGTTCCATGGTTTAATGCAAATAATATATGTTCGTTATTCTAAACTTAAAAAACAAGAGAACACAACGAACAAAATCAGTCAAAAACTGATCCAGTAAAGTGTAATATAGTTTCATAAGTATTATATTAAAATGGTAAATAAAGATCAATATAGGATATTTGATTGAGATCATGAACCGATTGATATTAGAACCATTGAATGGCGGATTCGTCCTATTGTTGAACTCTGTCAACAGTGCGCATTCACGATTCTGTTTGCGGGATTCGAGTCCAGGATCGGTAGAAATAGGTATCTATCTTAGTACAATGGGAGATGGTAGCGCAATTTTGCGAATTGGTTGAGGTTAGACATTAAATCCGTTGGATGCCAGCCGGCTCAGTGATCTAGAGGTTAAGCGTTCGCGCGTGAGACTGAATGCTCTGGATTCGTAATCCCTTGAGCGGGATCGTGGATGTGCACTGTTGAAGAGTCCCACAATAAAAGAAAACGGCCATCCAGTGCTTCCGGGTTCTCAGTGGTGGTCTAACATCAATCGGTTCATGATCTCGAGGTAAGAAAAGAATCAATCAATTTCAAATAAATAACTACTCTGAAAGCCAATTTATAGGAATCATCTATTCATCAATGATATATTTTTGACCAGAAAGTGAACTTTAAACTCACTTGATATTCACTTGGTGTTGTTTTACATGTGTCTTTCCATTGTTATTTAGGACTGAAATTGATCAGTCTCATGTTGGTATATGTGCATTCTGTATGGATTGCCTCGATATAGCCTTAAGTCACAAGCTTTATAAGCAAAAATGTATGATGACTAACAATAAAATCCAGTTTGACGGGCCTCCTATTTGGGACTAGTCAGCTGAATGTACCTGCATCGCAGAGTTGATATTCACCCCAGGACTCGAACCCAGTACCGTTCGCTTCAAACGCCATCGCGTTATCCACTTGGCTAAGTGGATATTGTTTGCTTGTATCCTCCCATTGTTGTTTAGAACTGCAGTTCATCAGTCTTTTATTGATATATGAGCATTTTGTACGGATTGCCTTGTTATTGTCTTAATTCATAAGCATTATAATTAAAGATAATAGTTAGCAAATGGCTATCGGGACTCATTAGCTTTTTTAGTAAACAGTGGGAATCCTTGGGGTCGAGTGAAGCGTGTCTGTTTTCTAAACATGTCCTTTCTTTGTGAAAGGGCAGCATCGCCGCAAATAGGGGTTATCTGAAGATAACTATGTACGACATTGACTTCAGATCATAAGTTTATTGCTTTTAACCTTAATGCCCACCAACCAATCTGCTTGGCATGTAGAACCTATAGGAAATGGTTTTTAGCCAGTCTAAGTTGATTAAATCATCACAACGTACAAGTTTGATCACCATGTCAAAGTGGCAGCTACAATCATGTTTGATATCTATAAATCACATTAAATTCACGTATATATTGTTATTCGGACTCAGCTTCTAATACCTTCAGTACATTTTAATATGCATAGATCGATATGTTTATCACAGTAACTTAGTTTCATATTCTTGTTATCATATTACTTACTTTCCAAAAATTCATTGCAGTGTATTCACTTGTATGAACTAAATCTCTTCAATATTACTCGAACTCATTTCTTTTTTCTTTTTTTTCTCTCACATTTTCGATACCTTTTTTAATTGACTTCATTTAATACGTCGTTTATACTTCATCTCTTTGTCTGTTTATCTATTTATCGCTGAAATTAATTAGGCATTAACTGACATATTCTTTCCGAAATCCTTTTTAATCATATTTTTTATCCATTGTAATTGCTAATTTGAATATCCTTCAAAAATAGATAAGTCTGTTTTTATGCATATATAGTGGTCTTGAGTGCTTTTAAAGGCATGAGTGCTTGAAGTTACTAACTTCTAGTCTAAGCCATGTTGGTAGATGCAGACTACTTGGTTGGGGTCCACGTGACTATCGTAACCAATGGTTGGAGACTGTGGGTGACATGGCTCAGAATCGATTACAATGGTGTAGGTGTATACACTCTCTGTCTCCACTTAAACTATGAGATTAAAATCGCTTCATATCTTTCTTTCATATTTTACCACCATTGAATTAACTACTTCTATGAATTCGGTGTTCATCTTGCTGTGCTAATGAGGTGTAGCAGCTTGGACCGATGCATATATGTGCCTGATCCTATGTTGTAGCTGACTGACTGACTGACTGATAAATATATATATATATATATATATATATATATATATACCAATTGATGAAATGGTGAGACTTACTCAGTTGAAATGGCTGGGACATGTGTTACGTATACCCAACCACCGACTGCCCCCACGTGCGATGTTTTATGATGTAGGAGTAGGTTGGAAGAAAGCTAGCGGCGGCCATACCAAAACATAGCACAAATCCATGAAGTCACTGACAAGTGGACTGAGCCATGTTGGTATGTGTATACTACCTGGTTGGGATCTGCGAGATGATAGAAACTGATGGTTAGGAACCTTGAATGACATGACTCGAAATCGTTTGTAATGGTGCAGGTACATCCACTTTTTGTGTTCTCCCAAATTCTAATCTTCTGAATTCTTCATGTACTTTTTTTCTTTCCGAATTTATTTCACTGGATTATACCCCTTGAATAACATCTTCAAACCCCAATGTTACCGATTACTGCTTATACTCTTACTATCTCTACCACTACAGGATTTGAATCGACAATTGTGTCTGTGTGCTTGTGTGGTGTAGCAACTCAAACTAATATACGTACGTATGAATCTATTCATTATTTTTTGGTCACTTCATTGAATTATCTTATCTATCGATTATATATTCTTTTGAATACTCCTCTTTTTTTTCTTTAAATTAACATCGTTTTTCTGTTTGTTTGTTTTTCATCAAACTATGAATAGATGATAAAAAACAAAGTTTATTAAAGACAAAACTTTATCAAATTGAAGAAATGCGCAAATCAATAAAATCGTTTTATCAAATGTTCAATGAATTCAATCGAAAATTTACATTGGATTTGAATAATTGTAATAAAATTGTTACAGTAAGTTTTATGATTATTACTCATAATGATTGATTTATTGATTGATTGGTTGATTGATTGATTGATAAAAAGCGAATAAATATGGGTGATTTTGTATAAGATTTTCGTAATGATAATAACAGTTTCTTTGAGCATAATTGTGAATAATGAACTTCTTTGATGTAAACTATTTAATTATTAGATATTTATTAAATAAGTCACCGAAATGATCTTGAGTTGCTATGTTTGAGCCTATAAATAATTTGATATATTAACTCTTATTGGCGTGTATACAAAGCCTATCTACAAACGTCTGTCAGGACATCAGAATAAAGAAGTCAATATAAACTATATCTATCTGACTCAAAAACTAATATGATTATGTACGTGAATTACAGAATCCCAATGCTCCGTAAATAAAAAGTTACAGCATGTGCCTAACCAGCATATTTAAAGTATAAAATTTGATTAACAAGTTTATAATTAATGTAAAGTTCGCGCTAACCGTAGCCACTTCAGTAGATCAAATTTTGTAGATTCATCAACCGGTTTGTTGGTAGTTTTAACTACAGTACTCTTGATATTGACATAAGAATAGCCACATCTTTCACTTTTGAACAACTTAGTTTTTTTCAAGCTTGGTAGTTTTGGTATATGCTACTTATGTTGACATAAGTAGCATATAACGCCAATCATATATGGAATGTCTGGCAGCAGAAGATTGGGAAGACCACATCGACGAGAACGGTAACAGATTAATTTTTATTGCAATGAAGGAACAATGAAGTTTGAGGCGATTGATGGAGGATTTGCAGACGAAGTATTGAATCTACGGTTTTCATATTTTACGAAAGAACTCTATAATTCCGTATTAGGTTGCATCCGTTGTTTCCACTTGTGTTCTCGTTCACAACACTGTGACATACTTATTTGTTATATGCAGATAGAAAACTATACAGAAACAATACTATGATTATTTTTCAATCCTAAAAACTTTTTATTGCTTAAAGCGTGAACAAGCTTATATATGGACACGCATCTGTAGGTGTTTTTCAAAATTCGTCTTTAAATTAAGTTTCATCTAACTACTGAAAGTTTAATCGATTTGTAAGCAAAAAGTTAATCTCTTAAAAACTACTTCATTATTTATTTGGACTCAGTAATAAGTGGATAACGCGTTGAGCATTTGAAACGAAAGGTACTGTGTTAGAGTCCCAATGTAAGTATCAATATCAGGGTGCAGGTACATCTAACTGAAGAGTCCTAAATAGAATGAGACGCTCTCCATGGATGTCACTGCTAACCACTATTCAACGTTGATTGATATACTTGTGAATTAACGGCAATATCTAAGCCATCTGCACAAGATATATATATCTCAAGAAGCTGATCAATCACAGTCCTTAGTGCTAACGTGAATATTCAAATAACTCTCTGAAATGAATTTCTTTACTACGGCCACAACAACATTCCGTTTGTTATCTTAAACTTCAGAAACTACTTTTTTTTATGCCACACGCCTAACACTTGAGCACTATACTTCTGATTATCCATAATGATGTTTAATTTTATGATCAAAAGTTTGTTATATTTTCTAAGAATCCGTGAAATCATAAATAACTCTTACCTCGTGATAATATATTACGCGAATAGTAGGTTAGTGAACAAGGGCTGATATTCTTAGGGGGCCACACCTAGAGCCTTTGACCTAAGGGTCTAATCCATAAGGCAGTGGAGCAACGTCGTGAGAGGCAGATCCATGATAGCCGGTGACCAACAATAGGTTTATACGCCATTGGTTTCCTTAAGATTCTGGAGCCCATATACGCCATTGGTTTGGAATCAGGGTTTTCCAACCCCCCTAAGTGGACCCTCCGTATCCACCAACCCAATTAAAGCGCCGGACATTCGCATTCCATCCTCTCAATTTCTTAAACAACACCCCTGCCACGAGAATGCATTGAGTAGGACTTCCCTGGCAGTGGTTGTATACACGTGGCCATGTGAGAGCATTTCGAGAGGGAGAGCTGACTCTCCTCACTTTCAACTGTACCAGGGAATTTGGGGGCAATAATTTCTGGAAAAAAAAACATTCTGCTATGTACTTTTTAATCTATTTGTAGAAAATTAAAATTCAATTCAATTTCTGTATACTTTTTCATCGGTTTTTATTTAAATGAGAATAGTTTTTTTTTTCTCTAAAATTTTTATACATAGAAGTTATCCAATCAACAAACATCAGTATATCATACTATACTTGATCCAAAATTAGAAATTATTCAAAATGAACGAAGAAATTTAGATAGATCATTACAAGAAATGTATAAAATTAATACTATTTTAAGTGAACAATTACATGATCTTGAATGTGTCATTGAACAAACTGGTAATGATGTATTACAACATCGTTGTCGTATTAATTTACCATATGTACAAACATTAGAGAATAGATTGGATTCAATTAATTCAACTGTTAGTTTAGCATGTGGTAAGTAGTTGAATTATTATTGCAAATGTACGCTTGTGTTATTCATTGATTATGTCTGGAAGTGATGTTGATAATACATGTTAACAGATACAAGCATATCGTGTCATACTTATAGTTATGCACTAATTGGTCCTAAAATCAACCATTTGAACTTACAGCGATTACAATTATGAGATTATGCATTTAGTAGTTAGTTTGTATGCTTTATATTTGATGTAATTGGCTGATACGATATTAACGGATGGATTGCAATGAACAATGTAAATCTAATGACGACTGTGAATGAACCTCTTACTCATTACTTCATGTTTCAATGATCCACAAGAATATTACAAGACAATATTTGACTTGTAACTCCAAGATTCTTATTTAATGAAATCAATTTACACTTTTAATCAACTTCAGTCATATTCTATAACTAGTGTTCATTAATATTTTATAAGAAATTTATTTAAATCGATTGTATTTATTGGATGATTATGGAAGCTTGACTTTTAGACAATATATTAGATAAACTGATTACTCTTTGGCTATTTCAAGAGAGTTTATGTACCGTTCTATAGACTGGGATGTTAAGAGATAGAGATCGATCATAAAGAATTATTTCTTGACTCAGATTTTATTTAATATCTCAGTCAATATCTATAATAAAGTAAGATTATCAACCACGAAGATCTACGTAGGTAAACTGTCAGGTTATGATGGTTTCTTTCATTTGACGTTACTTGTTGTCTTTCCTATCTCTCTAGTGGTGAAACGTTTTTTTACAGTTTCACATTCATGGAGTTTAAACATTTCAGGCAACTGGAGAGAGTAGTTGGAGACCGGTTGTACTGTTACTCAGTATTTTTTTATCAGCTGTTTAAGTAACCTGGCTTGAGAGGCCATCAAGGTCTTGTCATTTTCCGAGATAATCCTAGTTACAGCTAAATAATGCATTTAGTAATGTTCCATGTCTGACTTGACTGGTAATGCGGATCTTCCATTTGGAATGATCAACCTTGTCTATAATATAACAATAAGAACGATTATCACACTTCGAAAAACTCCCTTATTACTTTAATTATAAAAAATAAGAATTGGATAATCATCGTATTTGATGCCTTTGAAATTGATGATATTAATATCTAACCCGTATATCAATAGCTGTGCGTATCCTTACCATTTCAATTCCATTATAAACTGTCTGTAAAGATCGGATTATATGGGTTAACAGTTTCAAACCATATAACTATAGAGTCTTTTAATTAAAACGAATTACAATAGATGTGAATGATAGATCACAAATAAAAACACACACGAGTTATATATTATTAAAATTGTTTGCTAAATATTGTCAGAAGGGGTTTTGTGGAGATTTTAGTAGTCTTTATAGTTGAATTCACTAGTCAATTGAAGCTAGACCATCATGGGAAATCTGGAAGCACTGGATGGCCGTCTCGTCCTATTGTGGGGCTCATCAGCAGTGTACACCCACAATCCCGCCCCAGAAGATTCCAACCCAGGAACTATTAGTCTCGTGTATGAACGCTTAGCCTCTAGACCACTGAGCCGACCGGCATCCAACGGCTTTAATGTCTAACCTCAACCAATCCGTAAAATTGAGCTACCATCTCTCATTGTACTTAGGTAGATACCTGTCTCTACTGACCCTGGGTTCGAATCCCGCGGGCGGGGTTGTGGATGCACACTCCTGGGGAGTTCAACAATAGAACGAAACGTCTGTCCAGTGCTTTCAGGTTTTCAATGGTGGTCTAATATCAATCGGTTCATGATCTCAATCAAAAACTTAATAATCTCCGCAACCCCCATACTGATAATTCACTAATTAAATGTTATTCGAAAGACAATAAAAATTTGACCTTATGATTAAATTACTTTGTATTTTTTCTTAATGATGCTGTTGTTAATAGAAATTGTATTGTACACATTTTATCTATGGAATAATAGGTCATTACCCAGAAATTCAACAAATATTGAATAATCGTGAAGAAATGGAAGTAAAAGCTATTGAAATTCAAAAAAGGTATATAACATTGTGAATTTATAATTGATTATTCGAGTACTGATCAACATATATTTTCTTGACTCCTTCATACTGATGGAACCCTTTTGGTCAAATTACAATGTGGTTATTAGTCTGAGCGATTTGAAATGGCGTGCTTTATTTTGAGATGTTAGATGGTTAGATGGAAGTAGTCAGCAAGAAATCCCACCTGAAACACGTTTTGCTCTAACTAACACTTGTCAGCAGTCTTACTATCTTAAGAGAATCTATCTAACCCATTAAAGTTCAAACTACATCACTTAGTTTCATTATCTAGGACGTTAATTTTCAATTATTTTATCTGTTTATTCGATGAATACCTGAAATTGTACCTACTCATTAACTTCTTATTAAAAATAATACTCGTCTTTTGTTTAGTAAGTAATAATTTCCAGGGACCTATTAAAATAAACTATAATTCAAATCACTGAATATATTCAGATCTTGCTGTAAGCTCATTACAATCAACTCACGGAATCGGAATTCGCTGATCGATTTTATGGCATAACGCTTTCATTGGATCTCATCAACGAATTACCATCTTGCTTCTATCTTGATATACTGTTCAGACAATAACTTGATGCTAGTACTTTTGAAAATCTCCTTCAAAGTTAATTACAATTAAAATGATTGCTGTTAGATCAGATGCATTTGTCCAAATTATATATATATATATATATATATATATATATATATATATATATAACGAAGGAGCTTTTGCGTGTTCTTCGATTTCCAGTGTTTTTATAATTAATGACAGGTTTTGATGAAAATTCTTCCTAAGATATTCAAAAGTTCACATCAAGTTACCCTAACTTAAAGTATTCAAAACAGTAGTCGTGAACAAGATGACTTACTATTCTTTTTAGAACTCTTTATTATCCACTACTAAATAACATCTCAAGATTTTTCGTAGTATTGGGGGAATGTATAGCGAAATGACTTATTAGTACTAGAAATCCAACTACATTACTCTCTCTCTCTTTCTTTCTAAAGTTAAGTAAAGTTCAATTTCGTTAAAAATTATCCGAATGCATAATAGTAGAAATATAACCAAAGAGACGGGTCTATTTCAGTTCTGAATATCAACAACAGGAAATCATAAACACTCAATAATACCTTCTATCCACTAAACAAGTTAGTGGCTATATGAACTGAACAGCTTAGTGAATAAGTACTCGGTGTTTAAAGTGAAACGTACTCGACTAAATTCTGAACACTAGGATGTAGGTACATTTATCTTACGAGTTACTAATGGGACGAAACACGAGTTCAGGATTTTCCTACTAGCGATAGACGAAAATATAATAAAACTTATGACATTACTCTCTATAGAGACATTCCACTTAAGGTAAACGTATGGTAATAGCGATTGACCAATCACAGTTTTGGATGATAATAATAATAATAATAAGGAATCAAAACCCCATAAATTTAGACATTTTTAGTTATTCAATTGTTAAAATCTTTAGATATAGACGTAATATTCATTGTGTTGATTATTCACATCTATTTATACTTACTTATTTAGTCCATAAATTATTGATTGATTCTTTACGATACTTTTTTTTTAATGTTTACAGTGTACTTGATGATCAATTATATCAATTGAAGGATGTCAATGAAAAATGTAAACGTATTAAAGGCACAATATTAACTTTAAAACGGTAATAAATAATATTGTATTTTTGTTTTATTAATCTTAAATGAAATGAATAAATTCTATATATTTCCTTCTATATTCTACTGATTTTTTTATGTATATTTTAATGTCCTCCTTGATAAGTATTGTACAACTATCTGTATGATTAAAAACGATTCCATATATTTATAATGGTAGTAAAGTTTATAAAATTTATTATGACTTGAGAGTTATGTGATCAAGTGATACACTTTTATTCAATTGTCCTACTAACAACGGCTAAAAGCTAGACAATGACTAGAAAAGGAGTAGATTGTGATAAAATATGATGATGAGCGATAACAGATCTGTCTATCGACACTCACTGACCAATCAAAACGTATTTCCACCAGATATAAGCGGAAAGATTAATTTTGAGCAATAAAATACATAGTATTATTAGTTTTCGATAAGTTTACATCTTTATTTCATACGTCTAGTTTACACAAAATAGAAAACGCAATTATTGTTACTATCATTATTATTACTTGACAGATTTTATTATATTGTACTTGAAACGATTGAATTTTTTTTTATTTTGGACAGACCTATTTGGTATGAGATTAACTATACTTTTGTTCACTGTTGAATAAATATGCCACACCATCTAGCATTTTCATGTATTTTTACTTTTATTTATTGGATGAGCGCTGATTTTTCTATTTTGACTTTCATTTCATTCATCTAAGGCTATCTAGATATATCTTCTATGAACATACTACTGTAGAGCATCTCAACCTGACAAATAAAAATAACTAAATAAATTAGAATTTGGAACTTGAAATGAAATCCTCAATGAAAATTATACTCTCTCTCATTCAAGACACTCACCCACTAAATGAAGGAAAAAAAACACCTGAGAATTATTGATACTTCATAAATGAAAATTTTCCATCTAATTCTCTTTTACAAATTTCAACATTGAATTATGATTTACTTTTCGTTTCCATTTTTTGTTATGATGAATATAATTGACATAAAGTAGACTACCCTACATAAGACTCCTTCAGTCGATCAATATCACTGTGTCGTTGAGATTATCAATATTCAAAAAGATGTCATTTAAAAAAAAAATTTAGAATAAGCTAATATTCATATCAGAAGGGGTTTTTGTGGATATTATAGTAATTTCAACAGTTGGGATCATGAGTCAATTGAAGCTAGACCATCATGGAAAATCCTGAAGCACTGGATGCCCGTTTTGTTTTATTATGGGACTCCTCAGTAATGCACATCCACTCATGAATTCAATTATAAAAATTACTAAAATCTCCACTAAAACCCCTTCTGATAATAATCATAATATACTCACTAGTGACGGTCTTTGAAAGGTATTTCCTGGAGTTCTAGTGAAAAGCAGTGACCAGTGAAGTTCAACCGGGTCTGTTGTGAGATAATAATAGTGGATGTGTCACTCATTTTGGTGGATTATTTGAAGTTAGACATTAAAACCGTTAGATGCCGGCCGGCCGGCTCAGTAGTCTAGATGTTAAGGGTTCACGAGACTGAAGGTCCTGGGTTGGAATCTCACGAGGCGGGGTCGTGGATGCGCACTGCTGAGGAGCCCCACAATAGGTTGAAACGGCCATCCAGTGCTTCCAGGTTTCCAACGGTGGTCCAATATCAATTCGTCCTTGATCTCAATCAATATTTGTCTAACTAATTTAAGAGTTTAGTTGGGATCTTTTTTTTTAAGAGATGGTCATTAAAAGTTTTATAAAGTTATTCAATCTGATCGAAATTTTATTTTACTTTTTTTTGGTTTCTCTTCTCCTACAAAATAAGAGTCCCATAAAAAATGTACTAAGTGAATTTTTACTGTGTATAAAAAGATTTCATTTAATTTCATTCCATGACAAAATATAATTTAAATAAAGGTTGATTAAATTGACAGAATGATATTGTAAATGAGAAGAATAGTTTTTGCATATAAGTAGATTGAAAGTAGTTTTTAAGTGTTTATTTAAACATTTGATAATGATAAATTCACTAAATCCACTGGTTAGAGTATATTTAACAAATGAAAGTAGTTATTTGGTATATGGCTAACAGTGGAATTAAAGACCTGTGTTTCGTCCTATTTGAATCTCATCACATGAATATCCCTACATCACAGTATTGACGTTTGCAACAAGACTCGAGTGTTATATGTTCCTCTTTAAATACCAATGTTTTGATCACTGAGTAACTGAGTTCAGATAGTTGCCTATTTCCTCATTTGATTTAAGGTTATTAGGAAGGGTTATAAATACATCCAGCTCTTAAGTCCCAAACAAGATGAATGTTAGTCCTCAATTCCGCTTCTGACCACATACAAAATCTAATGAAATTTGTGACATGAAGTTATATCAATGCAATCTAATGAACATCTACACTTGGTAATAAACACTTGCAAGCAACAGTCACTTGTATCAGCATTTGTAAATTACAAACTCTTATCAAAAGATGTCTATGGTTTGATAAAGATAAGTAATGTTTTAATTGAGATCATGAACCGATCAATCTTAGACCACCGATGAAAACCTGGGAGCAATAAATGGCCGTTTCGTCCCATTGTGGGACTCTTCATCAGTGGGAACCCACGATCCTGCACGCAGGACTCAAGCCCAGGACCCTAGGTCTCGCGCAAACACTGAACCTCTAGACCACTGAGTTTACATCAACCAGTCTAGAATAGGAACAAATAATATGGAAGAAATCACAACTATCTTTATTCTGTTTCCAAAAAGTGCGAAAATTCTAAGTAGAATGCATTTATCTTTTAGTTGTCATATAATAAACCTATATCATACATACATTTCAACTTTTTTTAATATCCATATTTTAAAGGCTTGCAATTGTAAATATACAAAATCGACAACGCTCGAATTCCCCCAGACGTTTTACTCATCTTGGTGGTTTTGTCAATCGAGCGGCTGCTGATCGAGGAAGTATTGAACGCAGTCGGTTATATGCTGCTGTACAAAATATTCAACCAGATTCAGAGAAACGACTACAAGCAATCAGAGTAATATATATAAGATATAATCCTTAATTTAAATATAAATTTCGTTAAATTTGTTAACACTGTGTTTGTCAATCCTATTTCTCTAAATTGCTTAAATTAACTTCATTTTCGACATTATAAACAGGAAAATGTGAATATGGATGACTTCGTGACTACCATCTTATTCCGTGATCGACCATATAAATCAGTCAGCTAGTCATTTTGGTCCTAAGCAACGTAGGAATTGGTATATATGTGCATTAGTTCAAGTTGTTACATCACTTCAGTACAACAAGACAAATAATTTAAGTGTAGTGGAAGTATTAACAGTACCAGTGGAAGTACGAAACACTAGGCATAAACAATATGATTAGAGAAGATATGAATTTGTGGAATAGTAAAGTACAAGATAATTTGGTTTGGTTGCCCCCAGTTCTATTCAAACGCACTCTTATATCAGCCGAGATCGTATGTCAAAATAGGCTGTTGCTCGGCATGTTTAACACATTTCTCACCCACATCAGCTTGAGAAGATTCCCTAGTTCATAGATCAATTCATCTTGAACATACTCAAACGAAACTAATCACACGTTTAGTGATAGAAAAAAGTAATATTTTCGGTAAATTATTTTGTAAATCACAGAGAATTTTCATTGTCTAATATTTTCAGCGATTTATATTTCATGGAATCTGGTCGGTTGAGATTTTGTCTATCGACCTCATGATTAGGATCTCAATTAAGATGCCTCAGTTATTCCAGTACTTATGCAGTCATTTAAAAAGTTTGAACTTAAACTTCATATTAGTTGGCGCATGTCCGAAACTCTGAGGAAATACTGAAATCCGTGAGATTCAAACTCATATGATCCAGTGAGATAACCTTAGATATTATTAGTAGGCTATTCTAGTTGCAAACTGGTCCTATTTAGGATTGAGATATTTACGCTACTTGATCAACGGTAGTTAACGAGGTTTGTTTATCTAAACATCGGTGCCAATCAGAACCCATTGGGCAAGTTGCACTGTGGTCAGTTGACTAAACAACATGACATCGTGATATACTATATCTGTTAAACAGTTATAGAAACAAAATATTTTAAAATTTGATTAGTGTCAATTCATACCAAATGTGTTTTGGTGACAGTATCGATCGATAAATCCTAAAATGACTGATAATAGAATGATCAATTAAGATGTCAGTGTAAATAATTTGCTTGCTGATCTATGCCTTTAATCACAGCTAAATATGTATCAGGAGTTAAAATACCTAGTCAACTAATTTAGTATATATATTATCGAATGAAAGCTATTGTCCGTGTAGAGAATATTCAGTCAAGATAGTATTGGAACGTCTTCATTATCGGGTAATTATTAGTTTCAGAAAGGGTTTTTTATGGGTATTATAGTAGTTTAATAGTTGAGATCATGAGTCATGAGTGGATGCTCACTGCTGAGAAGTCCCACAATAGAACGAAACGGTCGTCCAGTGCTTCCAAACTATTTTTATGATACCATTTCAATATTTTTAAGAACACTACATTTTATTAGCTTCAACATCATTCTAAACGTTTATATTGTATCTAAACTCAAACTTATTTGAAGATGTTCATGGTGATTCTTTAGAAGTTTAAGGTTTATGTATAAAATATTTCAATGTAAAAAAACAACAACAATGAATTTACAAATCGATCATCATGGTGGTCTAGCTTCAACTAGCTCATGATCTGAACCATTGAAATTACTATCATATCCACAAAACCCTTCTGATATTAAATCGATCATCTTTTAATAAACATACAAAGGAATTTCTAAGCTTTACTATACAATTATTTGACAGTTCTTCTAACGTTAGATACTTGTCCTCGATCATTCAATCGGAATGAATATATTTCTATCAAGAAGTATACCCATGTGTTTAAACAATCTGATATAATCGATATACTTTGAACCAAAGTAATCATATAATTGTCTCATTGGAATTTTCATTTTTCTTATCTTCATTGAAGGTACAATAAATGTAAAAGTTATCTGTTGCAATACATGCTTTTTATAAAGAAGATGTAAAAATCTCCTTGACGAATGATTGACATTAATTTCACTATTTAAAACATGAAATGATAAATATCATTAAAACTATCATTAACAGATATTTTTCCACAATGATGAAAGTTTTATACCAGTTTTATTCTTATATCATTTATACCACGTTATAAAGTATGACTCAATTGTTCTATTTGGGATTACATGGATAAATTCATGTTTTACTTGAAGATAGACAAATAGAATGTTATGAGAAAAGTGGATTGTTTTTTGTTATAACTTATGCTCTGTGTCCTATTAATGTATAATATAATGACACCGTCAATTAGAGAACACTGAATTACCGACCGGACCGATGACGTATACAACCCATACGAGTAGTCTAGAGTCTTTATTGGTCCTGCTTCCTGCCTAGCCCTACCTGTTAAGTCTAGAACACCAATCTCAACCTCTGCGATATGAATCATTTATTTCAAACATACTGGGTTTATATACCATAAGATAGAAAGTAACATTTGTACAAGATTTAGCCAAAAGTGGCTATGAATATGGGAGATAGTAATTGATAGACAGGACATAACTCAAGAGTGGTAAATCGTATAATAATAATTCATAGGTTAAAATAAAGCTTAAAATAAGAGGAAGACGAATATGAATAGTTTAGTTACTTAACAATCATACGATAAAAATATACGTAAAGTATTAGTCCATAAACAGATTCCAACGCTTGCCATTCGTTATTCTCATCAGGATATAACATTTTTCATCTGACCTTTTTTTTTCTGGTATGGCTTTAATGAGATACATTGTATTTGACCATCATTCATATTTATAACTTGTTACATTCTTCATGTTTCATATAAATAAAATATTTCTTAACAATAATCTAACTTTAATAGTTGAAATCATGAGTCAATTGAAGCTAGACCACCATGGAAAACCTTGAAACACTGGACGGCCGTTTCGTCCTAGTATGGGACTCCTCAGCAGCGCACATCCACGATCCCGCCCCCCGCGAGGTTCAAACCTAGGACCGTCCAGTGTTTCTAGGTTTTCCATGGTGGTCTAGCTTCAAATGACTCCTGATTTCAATTATTTAAAATTCTAAAATCTCTACGAACCCCTTCTAATAATAATCTAACTATTAAATAAATTGTATTTTCCATCTAAGAATCTACTGAAATTTTCTACAGTATTAGATTTTAATCTGTATAATATTTTTTGTATTTTAGAAGCAGGAAATGCTGGCTATTCAAAAAAGACGAGTTTTCTCAAATGATAATCTTTCCACGAATATGATGTTATTTACAGCGCTTGAAGGACAAAAATCTTTACAAAATAAAAATATTATACCACCAGTTTTAGAATCAGATAAAAGTTCAGTACCACACAAAGAATTTAAAACATCAACAATAATAACTACATCCACTGTTACAGTTGATAATAAAGATGAAAAACGTGCACCATTAGCTGCTTACTCAGATGATTCAATTAGTTCTACAAATACTACAAGTACAATAGATTCATCTAATAATGAATTGAATAAAATACATCCATCATCTAAAGGTTTTAATCCGGATACGATTACATCAATGATGGATGAAAGTAGTGATAGTACATTAGAAAATGTTCAATTAACAATAATGCCAACAAGTATTCTTAAAGGTTCTACTTCTAATCCATTGCCTAATTCAAATTCTCCAAAACAGCGTAATCGTTTAAGTAGTCGTGGATCACGTGGTGTTATGTTTAATACAACAGTTACTGTAGATGATGGTTCTGAAGTAGTCCGTTTAAATTGTACATTAGATGATTCTGAATTGAGTAAAAATAAAGTACCACCAACTGATCGATCGAATTCATCACCATTAAGTAGACTTGGTGGAATGTCAGACAGATTTTCTCGTTCAAAATCACCACATGTTAGTAAAATTGCTACACCTAAGTCGGGACTGTCAACAGCCACTGTAAAAGGTTCTGCAACATCAAGTAATAATTCATCGGAACAAATGTTTACTTCACAAGTTAAAGGTAATCCTATTAAATCTCTTAATTTACTAAATTAAATTGCAGGAGAAACAAAGTCGGACACAAGTTTAAGCAATTCGGATTTCCCACAAACAAGTGAGTTTGGTTATAATGCACCTACACCACCACCCAGACGAAGCAGTCAGGTTACGACTACAACAGCAAATACAGATGAAGACAGTACATTGAAGTCTACAACTTATTCAAGTAGACAAGAAAGCGATAAGATTGAAACAGTCGTAAGTTTAACTTATGGAATTTAGGTAGGTTTAATTAAAATATTCTGAATTTGACGGACTAGGTCTGGAAGTATATATATATATATATATATATATATATATATATATATATATATATATATATATAATGAATCCACGATCCCGCTTGCGGGATTCGAAGCTAGGGCTTACAGTCTCGAGCTTGAAGGCTTGACCTCTAGACCATTGAGCAAGCATCCAACGGTTTTGATGTCTAATCTTAACCAATTCACAAAATTGCGCGACCAAGATCTCAGTCAAAAACTTAATAATCTCCACAACCCCATACTAATTATTACCATGCGTTCACTAGTGACTAGCTTCGTGAGGGAGTTTTCGGAGCTCTAGTGAGATGCCGTGACCAGTGGAGCTAATACATGTCAAGTAGAGACATGTATCTACCTCAGACAATTGAAGATTGTCACTCAATTTCATGGATTGATTGAAGTTAGACATTAACACAGTTGGACGCCGGCTCAATGGTTTTATGTTTAAGCATTCGCATGTGGAACCGAAGGCCCTAGGTTCGAATCTCGCGAACGAGGTCGTGGATGCACATTACAACAATAGGACGAAACGGTTGTCCGGTGCTTCCAGGTTTACAATCAATTCATGATCTCATTCAAAAATATAATAATCTTCACAACCACATACTGGTAACATTTTGTAAATGATTTCTTAGCGTTCATATTTCTCGTTAAATTATCAATATGGACTTAAAATTCTTTTAAACTAATTTCTTTTTTGTTATAGTCTTCAATGTCCAATAAACGACTACTTCCACTTCCTACAAATATTGAAGTTAATGAAAATGTAACAAGTCCATGTGAATGACAGATATTATTACATAATCATAGTTTATTGTTCTTTCTTTTTTTTCTAAATTAATGATTATCTTCATTATCGAATCAAGTAATCAATGGTGATATAGATATATAGATATATTACAATCCATCTAAAATGATTAATACTGAGCTTTTTGTGTTTCAATCCAATTATTAATAAATCAATGCTCAATAATTATTTCATTACACATCATGTACAACTAACATTTAAGAAAAATGTTTCTATCTTGTTTCCTTCTTTTTAGTGATTGTTCAGTACAGATTTTTTTTGGTGTCTTTTTTAATTTTTATTCATTTTCATCATTTTATTTCCCAATTTCTCTATCTATCTATCTATCTATCTATCTATCTATCTATCTATCTATCTATCTATCTATCTATCTATCTATCTATCTATCTATCTCTTTGAACTTTACCTATTTACTTGTACTCCTACCTCGCAAAGTGAATAATGTGCAAATAAACAACAACAACAACAACAACAAAATAAAACACCATCAAGACTGATGTGAAACAGGAGTTGTGATATAAGTGTATTATTAAAATATCAGTATAACTGATAGTTCATAATATGATCTTTAAAGTATTCGTACTACAGAATACATATTCATCATTACGAAATCAATTTGAAATATAATCATATTATTTTCTAAAGATCTCAATATAAGTTATGCTAGTCTCGGTTTATTGTTTCTTATGTTTTCTCATTGTGTTTGCTTGTCTATCTGTTACTTTGTTTTGTTTTTATCAATAATCAATTCAGATGTTCCTTTTTTTTGTTTGTTTGTTTGTCTAATCAATTTCTATTACAATTTTTATACATTTACTGCTGATTTCTTATTAACATTTTCTTTAAAAAAAAATTGCCCTCCCCCTCACCCACTGTTTCTTAGTATGGGGATAATAGTTAACTAATAATCTTATGTAATCATATATTTTGATTGATTTTCTAAATGTATAATCGAGTATGTATCTATTGAATGGATGAAATTGATTCAATAACAAACTGTTCCATCATTTCTTTTTCATTACTTTAAATGAATATTGTAAGATTTCAATAAGTATTTTTGTCCAATTTCTTCTGTTTGTTTGATGTATTTGGTTTGTTTGTTTTTCTTTTGATTATTTTAGTGTATTTATTTCGTGTACATGTCAATAATTATAATGATAGGATAAAATTAAGATTTGGAAACTAAATTTGATTTATTGTATTGAACATGAATGGTAAGAGGTTTAATGGTCACTTCTTACATAAGGGACAGAATTATTAAAATGCATATTGAAATATATTCTAGAATTAACACCACTAAATCACAATTAATTGATTAATGGGTGGTGAACAATATCATGTGTGTCAAGTTCTTCTGAATGCAGATCGAATGCTATCGACTAAATTGCAATATGGCCACTAGTCTATGTGACTCGACATTGCATGCACCATGTTAAGATAAGATGGAGTGGTTGGATGTAGTCAACAGGAAACCCTGGATCCCGGTTTCATGCAAGGTATACCTGTAATCTTGAGAGAACTGGTGCTCCCTAACGGATTCAGTCCTGTGTCACTCAGCTTCACAGTCAGGGACGTTACCACTTGGTTATCCGGGCCGCGACCGACCTCCTGTAGGACTGAGATGTAATCACAATTAATTGATAACTGTGTGGTGATCAATGTCATATGTGTCAAGTCCTTCTAATTATTACTAATTCCTTATCTTACAAATAAGTTTACATTGTCTATTAAGCTATCAACCAAAACAATGACATTAACTTGACACAAGTGTCATCTTAACACTAAATGCATTATGTTATAAATAGTTGAGTCGAATATCTTACTTAATATCTTATTTTCGAAGTATCATATTTATAAAGTAGATACCATGGCTTAAAGTTACAGAAAATGTAACAAATTTGATTACATTATATACTAAATGAGGAGATTGAAATCTAATACATTTATATACTTCACTAAATGAGATTGATGTGCGATATGATAATTTCACTCAGGTTATATTTTCGTATTTCAGAAGATTTAATATTCAGTTTTGAATTTCGCCACCTATTGAAGCTTATCAAAAATATCAATCAAACTCACTGATGAAAATGAGATCACGTGCTGAAATCAAAAAACGGAACGTCCCATTATAAATAACGAACATATCAAAAATCACAACAAGATTATTGAGGCTGTTTTAGATAGGTTATTAAGCTATAAGCCTGACAAATTCCTCCAGTTAATCACATGGAAGCCGAAAGATAAAATGAAACAAGAAGTCAAATATCACCTACAAAATAAACTGCTCCATTTTTATTAAGCATTATTCTGGACTAAGTGATTGTCCTCTATTTTTTTGTCTGGAGGAACATCAACAGCCTGTTAAATGCCGCAATGGACTTTCGTTTATACCAATCCAGGTGGATATCTGTAGACATGTTTAACTTTAAAAAGATGGAGATTTCAGGCAGAAAGAATATGAACAGGACCAGAGATTTCTCGAGGCTTGGAGATTCGGTTAATCTGTAATCAATAAACATGCCAAAACTGATCTGATTTCTCAACTAATTAGGAAAGTCATGGACAAATATCGGATCCAATATTTGACCAAAAAGGGAGATTGTCAGAGTGAATATACTAACGAGGATATGACAAAGTAAATAACAACTAATCAAGATTGACAGGAAAGACAGTCATAAATATAGCTGACTTCATTCTGAAGTTTGTGCTGATAATTTCCAGAAGGATAGTGAAAGCTTCGCAGTTGAACCATCTAACCAAGTGATCAAAACATTGTTAAAGTCATCCAAACGAACTAAAAATTTTCATAGCCTCTGTATTTGTTTTGTTTAAGCTTATATGAATTATAAATTGCGTTCCTTAGGTGCTTGATGATAATGTTATACGTATAATTAAAGCCGGTGTTAAGATTGGCCATAGTGTACTGCGTCCTAAAAGATAAGGATAATATGCATTATGATTAACTGACAAGTAATTTCCTACCTGACAAATAATTTTTAAATTGTTACGATACAACATGCTTCATTTTTGTTTGTTGCCCTGAAATCGTACAAATGGGTGTGAGCTATCTTATTCCATTCAATGCTAGGTACAGCTTTGCCACATTTCTATAGTCTCTGTATTATACCAATCTATGAATCTGGCAATAAATCCAGGCTACGATAAAATTACCATCGAAAACTCTGAGAGACTATTTGTGAACGTTTCGACCAACAATCCATTAATGTTGCATTAGGGAAATAGAAACCTTTGCCAAAATATCTCCAATGTTGACGTCTAAGAACATATACACAATCAATTTTATATCTGGCAAGTCAAGTAGACTACAAGTGCGCTGAAAAGTCATATGACGGTGAAACCTATGGAATTCCTGCGTTACTCGTGAAGTGTGGTAGTACGGAAATTCTATTATTATGTTGAAAAATGTTCGACCTATGTATGCACTGTGGAGTCCATTTTACTTATTTACGCCTGTAACTCCTCTTGAACGAGCATAGACCACCCACCAGCACTCTCCATCCAACCCTGTTCTGGGAAATCCTTTCCAGTTCTTTTTAGTTGTTATTAATTCTTTTCATATCTGCTTCTATTTCCCGACGTAATGTGTTCTTTGGCCTTTCTCTTATTCGCTTACCCTCAAGATTCGATGTTAGGGCTTGCCTCGTGATGCAGTTTGATGATTTACGTAATGTATGTTCTATCCATTTCCATCGTCTTTTCCTAATTTCCTCTTCCACTGGAAGCTGGTTGGTTCTCTCCCACGGAAGGCTGTTGCTGATGGTATCCGGCCAACGGATGTTGAGTATCTTGCGTAGACAGCTATTGATAAATACCTGTACCTTCTTGATGGTTGTTGTTGTAGTTCTCCACGTTTCAGCTCCGTACAGTAGAACTGCTTTGACGTTGGTATTGAAGATTCTGACTTTGATATTGGTTGAAAGTTGTTTTGAGTTCCACATGTTCTTCAGTTGAAGGAATGCGGCCCTTGCCTTGCCAATCTTCGCCTTTATGTCTGCATCTGAACTGACATCAAATAGTTATAATTAACCCCTCATTGTAGAAAGTTGTCCCTGTTAGAATTGGTGTCATAAAAAGTAGTGTCTTAGGTCCTTTGCTCTTTTTGGTTTTATCAATGATATTTATGAATCTTTTGTGTGGGTAGGCCGCTTCTGTATGCTGATGGTCTTAAAGCAGTGTGTTCATTTTCTCCACATAAGCTGAACAAAATGTAAAATATCATCAACATGGAGCTTAACAAGGTAGCTCAGTAGTGCTAAAAATGGTATCTGGAGCTTAATACAACTAAATGTTGATGGATATGGTTCGGCAAAACACCACTCAACTTAGGTTTTACGATAAATTGTAAAGTGTTATTTAGGTTACATACAATAGTAGACTTAGGACTTAGGTACTCCTACGACTTGTCGTTTACGGAACAGATATTGAAACAGTCTTCTCAATCTCAAAATCGTATAGGTCGATTAACTCGAAACCTTTAAACAATGAGTCACGTATTTTAGTGCAAAACGTTCGTGTTCGACCACTCCTAAAATACTGCACATTTATTCTCAGTAGTGTGCGCATAAATGATAAATCTGAAGAGGCCAGTCCTCATAGAACTGGACAATCCACTTCAAACAGCAGTCTGCTTAAAAACCAGAAGACAGATGCTATCATAGAAAAACACCAAGTAATAAGACGAAACATCAAGTCCCTACATAAAAACATGAGGAGACTATGCGGTGAACTATAAGAAATCAGAAATGTGTGTTTTAAGTTGGAATTATAGATTACAGTCCTGGCGGAAACATGGCTGTCTCTTGACGTCGTGGGCGACCAAGTGACCTTGTAAGGCATAACACAGGGTGCATAGAGCAGGAGGGGTAGCGATATACATCAACACGCACTTCAAAACTGTGATACCTTACAGTATAGTACTAACCGAGGTGGAACAGTCATTCTGGTGTTACTCCAATGAGCGTAACTCAAAGTAATTGATCGGGAGAATACGCAAGTTCTCCTCTCAAGTAACAAGGCCAAAAAGGTTTGAGTGATCCAGATGTCAGTATAAAATGCCATGTCGTTTGATCAGAAACTACGAACTGGAGACTTCAGCACTCCATCCTTAAGTTTCGGCAAACAGAGGAGAGTTTGGATACCCACAATCACCCATAGATATTCATCTTTCACCGGTACTAGGAGTACCTGATACATGTCTAGTGACTTACCTATTGTTCAAATGATTAGATATCAGTGACTACCCCTTAGCTGGCTTTTTATCATATCTGTTTTCATTTTTAAGATTTACACTTCAGTCTTCTCACGTTGTGTGACTTACTAATTGACTAACTGACAAACTGACTAGAATTAGTGCAGTCGAGCGGCTTGACTAACACCCCATCGCAGTATACCTGAAACCAAACGGAAACAACATGAAGCGAACGCAAAGAAATCCATAGATTGGTACAAAGTTGTATGAAAACAGTACTTTCAGAAATTTCAACCACCCCAGACTAACTATATCGATGAGAGCTTCATCTGCAACTCAAAAGAACTCTCAGAAGAGAGCCTGAGCACTGACTTGGTGCATTAGAAATTAAAGCGCTTGAACAAGAACACTTCTCCTGGTTCAGATATGGTCCATTTTTCTATATTAAGGGAAGCAGCTATAATCTTGGCAAATGCGCTTAACTTGGTGTTCTTGCATTCTCTAAGCCGGGGCACGGTACCGTAACATTACACCGATTTTCAAAGAAGGGCAACGCATCGAACCTTAAAGCTATCGGTCTGCAGCACTTCTTTCAATACCCTCAAAAATCATAGAGTCCCTGATTTACGACGGTCCACATCACCACTTACTATCCACAAACTACTTTTCATCTTAACTGCAGGGTTTCAGTGTCATTTTCGTTTAACCGACCTGCTGACTGCGGTGGACAGATGGATGACCACCCTTGGCCGCAAAAGAAAGTTGATATCATTTACCTAGACCCCTCGAAAGCTTTTTGTAGGGTCAGTTGTATTTGTTATATCAACGAGCTCAAATAACTAGGTATTAAGTCACTGGTAATTGATTGACTTCACGTCTAAATAATTGGCTTTTTGAGATAAAAATAAATTGAACTTTTTCTCGGGCTATGGTATGTCCCTAGAGTTCAATATTATTGTAGTGAACGAGAACAAAATTGGGGAAAATCAGATGTATTTGAATAAGAACATCTAGATGACGTCTTAGCAAAATCTGAGGAACATACAGTAATAATTCACTCGCAAATTATCCACCAATTGTCTCAGACTCTGTTGTTCCTTCGTCCCCACACCAATGATTCTCTGTTCTCGTTCTCTTCGATTTTTTCAACCATTTGCCTCCAGGCATTCCATTTTCGATTGCTGGTACATACTACTACTTGTATCTATCGACATCAGTAACACACACCATCTGGGACATGTTGCAGGCTTCGAACGA